TGACCATCGCGTCCATTAAATTCTACGAGCTTGCAGACCACCTTCACAAAATGAAGGGGCGCATCGTGTACAGAGGAGACTGCGCAAAGGACGAGCACGGTGCAGCCGCAGTTTACCAAGAACTCGGCGCAAACCCCACCTCCGTCCAAGGGCTAAACGCCTGCCTGGCGTACGGGTCGCTGCCGGGTAACCGCGCGACGGCTGCAGACGCAGTCAAAGCTTACGTCCAAGCACTGTTATCTTCCAAATACAAAACCTGGATTGAGCTTCCCCCGGAGCTCCGCCCTAAGTATTGGAAACAACAGTTTGTTAAGCCCGTAGTCCTCTTAATTAAAGCCTTATACGGTCATCCTGATGCCGGAGGCCTGTGGGAACAACACCTGAAAGTCATCATCAAGAACCTTGGTGGACAGGAAGTTCTAGAATACCCAGGAAACTTTTACTTCCCAGATACAAAGTTACTTTTGTCAACCTACGTAGACGATTTAACTCTAGCTGGCCCCGCCGACCAGCATGATGCATTCTGGAGTAAGTTAACTTCCGTGGTAGACATAGAGCCCCCAGAGCCCATCTATAGGATTCTTGGACGCAACCATGTTGTTACCCCACTTTCCAAGACCGAAGGTCATGAAAAATGTGCAGCCTTCCAATCCCAAACTGGCATGGTTTTTGATATGGCAGACTACGCTCAGCAGACCGTAGATTTGTATAAATCAATAACTGGCGTCACCAAACTCAAGCATGCCGCTACGCCATTTCCACCTGAGGGATCCATCACCATTGAGGATGATGAAACTAAAGGGGAACTAGCTCCAAATGCATGTAAGATTTTGATGAGAGCCCTTTGGTTAGGTAGACTTGCACGTCCCGACATCATCAAGCCTATCAATGATCTGGCCACAAAGGTCCAGTCGTGGTCCAGAGGGGATGATAAGAAGGTCCTAAGATTAATCCAGTATATAGCCTCAACCCCACACTATAGGTTAGTAGGTACCATTCAGGACAAGCCTGAAGACCTAGAGCTCAGACTGTTTGTCGATGCCGACTTCGCCGGCGACAGATCAACTGCACGCTCAACCTCTGGTGGCTTCTTGGCTTTAACTGGCCCTAGTTCCTTCTTCCCACTTGCATGGATTAGCAAGCGCCAAACATCCACTTCTAGATCGACCACGGAAAGCGAGGTTGTTAGTTTAGCCCATTCGCTTTATCAAGAAGGCTTGCCTGCCTTACAGTTATGGGAGCTGTTGCTTGCACGCTCCGTAACCCTTAGGGTCCACGAAGATAACCAAGCAACAATCCTAGTTGTGAAGAAAGGATATAGTCCCAAGCTTCGCCATATAACTAGAACACACAAAGTAAATTTGTCTTGCCTGTCTGAAATCTTCAGAGATGACTCTGCGGAAATAGAGTACGTCCACACCGACGATCAGGCGGCAGACATATTCACCAAGGCATTGCCTCCACACAAATGGGCAGCAGCACTAATCCTGTTAGGAATTCGTACTGATCTTCCCTTAGACCTGAAATCCAAAAAGCATAGGTCGCTGTGAACGTCCGTTCACGCGACAGTAGATGCCTAGGATACTGCCAATGCGCAGTGCGTGTGGAACAGGCGAGGGGGGAGTTGAAATATACCGACCCCTGAGCCCCACCATGTATAGCATAGGTAGTAGGTCCAGTGTGTAGGTAGTTATGCCTTAGCTATGAGTCCAACATACCCCAAGTAGTACATCCAATATATGTACAGATATAGCACCACATGTATAGAAGCGTTATACATGTAGAGTAGTCACACTTTAGGTAGGGAGTCCCCAATCCAACAATTACCGGGTTGGGTATAACTCCGCTATTCGACGGTATGGCTCAAGTGCCTTCGAGAAAAGGTGCTTGTTGTTTATTTTCATGCAGGGTTTACCGGATTGGGTTTCCTCCTTTTTGTGGGTGCCTGGTTCGTCCCCCTGTTTGACTATGTACCGCCTGTTCGAACACGTGGCACATTTAGCAAAACCATTGTGTATTTTTTTGAAACCCCCATTTCAGGAAAAACATGTTGTATTCAAATTTGCAACCAAGCAAAACAGTTTTTTTACACACAAGAAACCTTTACAAACAAAGCAGCTTGTACACAAGAGAAACCTTTCAAACAAACCAGCTCTTACACACAAGAAACCTTTCAAACAAGGCAGTTTTTACACACAGCAAGCCTTTCAAACAAAGCAGTTTTCAAACACAACAAACCTTCAAACAAAGCCGTTTTTGGGTTCATACGCCTTTCAAACAAAGCAGCATTCACACACCAACAGGCTTTGAAATAACGCAGTTTTTACACACAAGAAACCTTTCAAACAAAGCAGTTTGTGGACACACAAGAAGCCTTTCAAACAAAACAAATTTTACACACAACACACCTTTTAAACAAACCAGCTGTTACGCACAGAAGTTTCTTCGACAAAGTAGTTTTGACACAAAAACCTTTCAAACAAAGCACATTTTCCACACAACATGTTTTTCAAACAAAGCAGTTTGTGGACACACAAGAAGCCTTTCAAACAAAACAAATTTAAACACAAGAAACCTCGCAAACAAGGCAGTTTTTGCACACAACACCCCTTTAAACAAAGCAGTTTCTACACACAAAATCTTTTCAAACAAAGTAACTTTCATACACAAAAAACCTTTCAAACAGAGCAACAACAAGCCTTTCAAACAAAGCAGCTTTTACAACTCCAAACAAAGCAACTTTTACACACAAGAAGCCTTTCAAACAAAGCAACTTGTACACAAGAGAAATCCTTCAAACAAAGCAGTTGGTAAACACAAGAAACCTTTCAAACAAAGCAATTTGTGGACACACAAGAAACCTCTCAAACAAAGCAGCTTGTACACACAACACGCCTTTTAAACAAAGCAGCTTTTACACACAGAAGCCTCTCAAACAAAGAAGCTTTTACATACAAAAAACCCTTTCAAACAAAGCAGGTTGTGGACACACAAGAAGCCTTTCAAACAAAGCAGCTTTTCCACACAAGAAACCTTTCAAACAAAGCAGCTTTTACACACAAGAAACCTCTCAAACAAAGTAGCTTTCACATACTGCACAATGTACAAAAAACCTTTCAAACAAAGCAGTTCGTGGACACTGAAGAAGCCTTTCAAACAAACAAATTTTACAAACAACACACCTTTTAAACAAAGCAGCTTTTACACACAGAAGCCTCTTAAACGAAGCAGTTTCTACACACAGAAGCCTCTCAAACAAACTAGTTTTAACACCCAAAGACCTTTCAAACAAAGCAGCTTTTCCACACTTCCAGCTTTTCAAACAAAGCAGAGTTTACACACAAGAAGCCTTTCAAACAAAGCTGCTTTTACACACAAGAAACCTTTCAAACAAAGTAGCCCTCACAAACAAGAAACCTTTCAAGCGAAGCAGCGCTTCCACACAAAAAGCCTTTCAATCAAACCAGCTTTTACACACAAGAAGCCTTTCAAACAAGCAGCTTTTGCAAACAGAGAACCTTTCAAACAGAGCAGTTTTTACTCACAACAAGCCTTTTAACCAGCTGTCACACACAACAAGCCTCTCAAACAAAGCAGCTTTTACACACAGAAAACTTTCAAAGAGGAGCTTATTACCTTTTTTCTCCATTATATCTAACATTGTCTGAAGGAAACAACAGAGTTTTCCACATTACAAATTTGTCGTAAACCTAGAAATTACCACCAAGGCCAGATCCCTTAAATAAGGTCTCCAGAAGTTCCTCCTGGATACCTTATTTAAGAAAATCCTGGAGACCTTATTTAAGGACTCTCCTTATTTAAGGACTTTTGGAGGCTCTGGGTCTGCGTTAACCCCTTCCCACGACTTTTTCCACGGTTTCATGCAAAATGAAATCTCTGCAGCAACAAACGTTTTGCTGTGCATGTCCTATTTTTCAGCCTTTGGACACCGTTTGACCGGTCTTGGGGCCGTTTGACCAGTCTTGGAGCCACAATTTTTCAGGACAATCGCAATGATGACATTTGTCCTGAAAAAACCGCGCGAACAGCTTTGAAAAAGCCGCATGAACAGCTCTGCATTGAGCTCTCCCCAAGCTATTATCCACGGCTTGAATGTTGTCTTGCGCCTTCCCAGCGAAGCTCTCCGCAGGCTATTTGCAGGGTTTCGTGTCCGTCCAGCATGCTGTATCGCATCTCCCGGCGAAGCTTTCCGCAAGCTATTTGCACGGTTTCGTGCCCGTCCAGCATGCTGTATCGCATCTTCCAGCGAAGCTCTCCGCAAACTATTTCGTGTCCGTCCAGCATGCTGTATCGCTCCCTCCAAGCGAAGCTCCCCCCAAGCTATTTCCACAGTTTCGTGTCCGTCCAACATGCTGTATCGCTCCCTCCCGGCGAAGCTTTCCGCAAGCTATTTGCACGGTTTCGTGCCCGTCCAGCATGCTGTATCGCTCCTTCCCGGCGAAGCTTTCCGCAAGCTATTTCCACGGTTTGGTGTCCGTCCAGCATGCTCTATCGCTTCCTCCCAGCGAAGCTTTCCGCAGGCTATTTCCACGGTTTGGTGTCCGTCCAGCATGCTGTATCGCATCTTCCAGCGAAGCTTTCCGCAAGCTATTTCCACGGTTTCGTGTCCGTCCAGCATGCTGTACCCAGAGAGCGCTTTATTGGAAAGAATCAATAAAGTTATTGATTTTCATCAGAGTTATTGAAATGAGGTTTTTATTGGTATAAACCAATAATCTTATTGGTTTGTATTTCAATAAAGTTATTGGTTTGTACCAATAAGGTTTGCAGGCTGCAACCAATAAAGCTTATTGGTTGCTTCTGGCAACATGCATGCCATCCACATGTAAGTTTCAGCCAGCTATATATCCAGCAGCTCTGTTGTGGCTCCAACGGTGTGGTGTGTTTACACCTTTTTTGAGATTGGCTTGCAAAGGCCATTGCAAAGCCCTGCAGAAGGGCAAGCCTTGCATAAGGGTAGCCTGGACCTAGCAAAAGCCATGGATAGAGTTGAAATGGATGTGCTGGACATGGCCCTGGCAAGGCCTCCCAGCAATGCAATGGAGGAAATCCAAGCCTACTGGCAGTACCTGGAGTGCACCACGCCGTACTGCCATGGATGGCTTTGGAGGAGACACCTGAATAACCCCACCTGGGGCATCAGGTGCTATGTGTGCAGAAAAGCCTGGAGAGAAACCTTCCAGCAAGATGGGTGGCAGCTCTGGGACCCTAGGCACAAAAGGAAGTATGTGTATGGAACTTAAAGAGCACCTGGAGTCCCTGAAAAAAGGTTGCCCTGAAAAAGGGATGCCCTGAAAAAGGGCTGCCTTGAAAAAAGGCTGGTGCAACAAAGAGAAACTGACAATGAAGCAGGTGAAAAAAATGGGGATGGGGAGACTGGGTTGTTTCTGTTGCTGTTACAGCAGCATGTTCTTGTGCTGCACACTGCATGTTCCACCATGTCACACCTCTAGCTGCTGCAGCTTTTTTGGATCAAAATTGAAGGCACTTAGATATTGTCGCCTGGTCAAAGCCTTGCAAGAAGGCATTATACATCTAGCCTTGAAAAAAGGCAGAGCCTTGAAGAAAGGCAGGGCCTTGTGTAAGGGCCATGGTGCTCATGAAGGCAGTCAAGAGAGGAGCAGGGGCTGGCAACAAAAACCACATCAAAAGGAATGCTTTTCCAGATGTCAGCCAAGACAAATTGGATGAGGAAGTGGACTGCTACATCAGATCCATGGGAGTGGCTGCCAGCTTTGACTTGCTGGAATACAAACACTCCAAGGTCAGCAGGCAGAACAGCCAAAGGCCTTGTTCAAACTGCAGAAACTGGTGGAAGCAGTGCTGAAAGTCAGCCCTTCTGCCCAAATAAAATATGGGCAGCTCAGGCAAAGCTTGCAGATAGCTTGCAAGAAGTTTGGGATGGAACTTCTTTCTGCACACTGGCAAGTGGAAAATGCCCATTTGCCTGGCAAGGCTGCAGATGCCTTGGGTGTCATGCTGAAGCACTGGAGAAGGGTGACAGCTTCTCAGACTGCCTGGGACAAATTTGGCAGAAAGCTTGAAGAAAGTCATTTCAAGCAGCTGCAAAGGCTTTACAAAATGATGCAGCATGGGGGCCAAACTGGGAAAGCCAAAAGGGAGCTTACAGCCCACATCAGTGATGTGACAGTGGATTCCACAGGCATGCCTGCTATGTTGAAAGCAAGCAGTGAGGAAGGTGAGGAAAACATTTCAGGCTTTGACAGCAAGGGCAGCCTGATGGATAGCCCACCTCCTGTTGCAAAAGGTCTTTGGAGGGAGATGGCAGGCAAACCTTTGAAGAAAAAACCTGCTACAAAAGCAAAAGAAACTGCTGGCCCATGCAAAAAACCAGCCAGCAAGCACAAGTCAAAGAAAGCAGGGTTGGCAGGTGGACCTGCAACCAAAATCCACACAGCTTCCTTGAGTGTGGGGGGTGGCAAGTCTCAAGCATACATACAACATGTTCCAGGGCCAGGAAATGAAAAGAGGCTGATTGTGGCTTGCACAATCAAGCAGGCAGCAGCTTTGAAGGTCTCACACAAGGCCTTAATACAAGAATTACTACCCAGATACAAAGTCCCTGGTACCACAAAGGGGGACATCCTCAAAGCCAGGGATGATCTTTTCCAAAAATATGAAAGGTGAAGTTAGCATTTGCCTTTCAAAAAGGCTTAGCCCTGCAAAAGGGCCACCCTTGCAAAAGGGCAGCCATGTTTTTGAAACATATATGGCCCTCCAAAGTGGGAAGGCAGCTCAGCTGGCAGCAGAGGCTACATGGCTGCTTGGGAAAAAAAGGTTGGGCAGCAGGCAGAGCAGCAGGAAATGAAGACATGGCATGTGTCATGAGAGTGGCAACTCAACAGCATGTGTCTGAAACCTTTTTGCATGCCTGCAGCTTGTTTTTGCTCAAGCATTCAACTGCCTGGCATTTTGTCGCCATTTTTCAACTGTTGCAAGCTTTGTGTCAAAAGGAAGGCCTTGAAAAAGGCAAAGCCTTGGAAAAAGGCCAGGCCCTGCAAACAGGCATAACAAAGATGTCTGCCCAGGATGGGGGTGATGCACAACCTGACTGGAGTGCTGATGGAGACACAGATGTCAAAGAACCCAAGCAGGAAGAAGTCAAAAAGAAATCACCTCCCAGAGAGGCCCAGCCCAATGAAAAGAGCAACCCACCAAAGCAGTCACCCAGCCCTGCCAGGATAAACCCACCTGCCAGGAAGAACCCACCTGAGGAGAAGCCTGTGAAAGGTGGCTGGTCAAGGTCTTCTTGGCAGCCTGAGGATTCCTGGGAGGATGGCTGGGATGACAGCTACTGGGGTCATGGCCAAAAAAGTTGGCCAAGATGGGAAGATGACCAATGGTCTTCCCATGGCAGAAAGGGGTGGGATGATGATGATTGGGGAAACCACCCCAAAAAGGGTGAGAGTCAAACCAGTGGCTCCTCCAAGGAAAGGAAAAAACTGGAGCAGCTGAGGCAGCAGTGCCCCCAAACTGATGATGAGGTGCTGAAGCTAGCTGCTATGGGAGGCAGCAGGTTCAAAAGGCTCCAAAAAAGACAGGAAGAAAGAGAAGAAAAAAGAGAGCAAGCTGAAAAGATGAAGAACCTGGAGAGCCAAGTGAGCCAGCTGCAGGAATGCAACCTGCAATGGATGCAATACCACCAGCAGCAGCAGTACCAACAAGCTGCATGGCAAGCAGCTTCTGCCTGGCCAACCCAAGCCTATGTGCCAATGGCTGCAGGGCCTATGCAAGGCCCAACACTGTTTTCTACTCATGCAGTGCTGTTGTTTTGGCATCATGTTATACCAAATGTGTATCCAATTTCTGCTGCCACTTTGCCTTCTTAATTTCTTCTTTGCAGGCCAGCCCAGTGGAAAAAGCAGGAAGCATGAGCAGGCTGCCAGCCCTGCCACTGCAAGCTCCAGTGCAGATGCTGGACCTCCAACCACAGGCTTGATTTTTTTTTTTTGATACCTGCTGATGTTTTTTTGGCAGAGCAGTGTTGCCACCTGGGTTGTTGATTTTGGCCTGTGGCAGGTATGGCCAAAAGAGACTCCCTGAGGCCAAAAGCAGCCAGCAGGCCTGAGAAGGCCACCTATGCAGAAGTCCTGCAAAGAAATGATGAGAATAGAAAAGGTGAAGGGAAAAAAAGAAGAGGGGATAGACCCCCATGAAATACTCAGAGGATAGCCTTGCAAAAAGGCACACAGCCCTGAAAAAGGGCCAAGCCCTGAAAAAGGGCAAATCCCTGAAAAACGGAAAAAAATTGAGCACTGCAATGGGCAGTAAGACTGGAGCCCTGCATGCTGTCCAATGGTGTTGGAAAAAATGGGAGGGGTGGAGCCTGGAGCTCGGAGGTTTTAGTTTCCAGTTGATGTGTTGTTCAACCTCAATTTCAACTAGTTGGGTTCTGGTACCTCAGTTTCAAATGTTCTTCAACCTCAATTTTGTTCATTGGAAATTTTAATTTCTGATATGGTTTTCAAATTTGTGTCAAGCCACCAAAAAAAGGCAAATGCCTGAGTTCCAAATGATGTTGTGTCTCCAACCCACCACATTTTTCTGATGGGCAATGTTTGGGGCCAAAAAAAATCAACATTGAAATATATTTTTGGCAGTAAAAAAATCCCCAAATGGGAAAATCTTTTTCTGGGCTGAAAAATTGGCACCCATCATATTCCATCATATGATGTCATATGATGGGGGGGGCCCATCATATGATGTGGGGGGCCATCATATGATGGCAAAAACCCATCATATGATGGGTGGGCCCATCATATTGCATCATATGATGCCATATGATGGGTCTCCATTTTTTGGACTTTTTGGAAAATGCTGCAGCCATTTCAAAATCTCAAACAATTTTTGCTCGCCCTGTGAAAAGGCAAAGGTTGGGCCTTGCAAAGGGCACCTCCAATGGGAAAGGCAAAGGCAATGAAAGTCGAAAAAAAATATGTGAAAAAGCAGGGCCCTGGAAAAGGGCAAGGCCCTGGAAAAGGGCAAAGCCCTGAGAAAGGGCCACCAAAGCCCAAAGGCATTTTGAAAAGGCCATCCACCTTAGCCTTGCCCAATAGAAATGACCCTGGACTCTCCCTTGAGGAGAAAATGGAACAGTTTGCCAAAAAAACCAATGGGAACACCCAAGAGTTTTTGGATAGCCTCAGTGCCCCTCAGAGAGAGGCTCTCTGGGGAAGGTTTGCCAGGGCAAGGAAGTCCCTCAAAGACCAGAACTTGAACTCCCTTTGGGACAAGCGCTGCAAAGGAGAGGGATCAGAGCAGCACAAGAAGCAGCTGCTGTCCATCTACCTCAAGTCCAGAGGGGATCTGAAGAAGGGCAACCAGTATGCCAAAGAGTTGGTGGAGATCAGTGAGACCACTGGTATCTTGGTTGCATTTGGATGTGGTCTTCAGCCTGTGGCCTTCAGTCTGTGGCCTTCTCCCTTCTTGCCACAGCTGAGGCAGCAAGGAGACATCAGAATGGGTGCCATTCAATGTCATCCTTCAAAGATATGGCCTCAAGGAGGCAATGCGCAGAGCACCTTTGGCTGCATGTTGTGAAGTCACTAGGCACAGCTATTGTCACTAAAGTGCCACACAACTTGTTGCAGTCTGTGGTTACAGTCTCAGGTGCAGAGAGGATCAATCCAATGCAGGGGGGATCCAAAGGACATGGAAGAGTGGCAATTTGCCTTGGAGAAAGAAGTGGCCTACAAAGATGTGAAGAACCACCATGCTGTGGCTTTTGAAGCCTCTCAGAAGATGGAAGCCCTGGAGTGGATGAAAGCTAGGCAGCATGGCTCCATGAATACTGGAGATGGGTGCCAAGGTGAAGATGCTTTGTCTGATGTGCTGCCTGACAAAGCCAAAAGCAAAAAGAGGGAACCACTGGCCCTGATGGACAAAATGGATGAAGAAAGTGAGCAAGAGCCAGAGAAGACCCATAGCCCCAGCAAAAAGGCAACTGCACTTCACAAGGCAGTGGAAGATGCAGAGGTGCTGAGTGACCTTGGCAGAAGCAAGAGCAAGGACCAGGCAGCCAAGAGGGTTCAGAAAATGATCAAACTGATCAAAGATGTGAAGGGTACGGCTGGCAATGCAAGCCAGAAGGCATTGCAGCCTTCCCTGTCAGAGCTAGAAAAAGTTTCCAGGAAAGGAAACAAGCTGAGTCTGGAGACCTGCAAGGACACCCTCTTGGATGCAGCCTTGGCACTGAAAAAAGTCCAGAAAGGCCTCCAGAAGTGAAGGCACTTGCAAGCATGTGCCTTGAGAAAAGGCAATGCCCTGAGAAAGGGCAGCCCCTGAAAAAGGGTTTTGTCTCTTGGGGCTTCTGTGGCACCTTTGGCCATTCTCATGAGCTGGAAAAAGTGTAGCCCTGTGTGGTGGAAGAAGGCTGCCCCCAGGTTCCCTAAACCAGCACCATGCTTCATTTTCTTAAAGCTGCATGCACACTGAGGAAGTGTTTTGGTTCCAGGTAGGACTAATATTTTGTTGCCTCTGCACAAGAGGAGCCCTGGAAAAGGGCAGCCCTGAAAAAAGGGCAGCCCTGCAAAAGGGCAGCAATGGATCAGAAATGGAAAAGAAAAAATGGCAAGCAGCAAGCACCAACACCTCTTCAGAGAAGGAGCTTACCCCATTGGCTTCCTGTCTTCTGGAAAATTTTGCAAATGGGATGAGCGTATCTTGGCAGCACATCTCACCACATGTGCATGACCATGCTTTCTGTTGCAATTTCCTTTTCAGCAGCTGCCAATCTGTTTCAGCCAAGGGACCATCCATCCAGGCTTTAGCGATGGCAGCTACTCAAAGTGGTGCCACAGGAGAGGACCTTCAGGAAATTTCAGCCCTGGGCAATTTTGGGAAAAATGCTCCTCACATAGCTTCCCAAATGGAAAGGAAATTTTGCCAGTCACCTGACATAGACCTTCCAAGCCCTTACTTGCTGGAGTGCCCAGTGAAGGTTGTCACCTCTGATGGAATTGGCACCAGCCTGAAAAGAATTGGGATGTTTCTGCCACATGAGTGGTTTCACTGGATGTCATCCTGCCCACACATTTCTGGGCTGGACACTTTGGAATCATTTTGGGAGTCACACTCTGCTGAAGATCCCCAACTTCTTGGCAATCCTGTGAAGGAACCTGGGGTTGCATTTCTTTTTGTTCTTTTCATCTGTTTGTGAGCTGCTTTGGATTTGCTTCCACTGTGATGCTTCTCCTTCATGCTGCTATCTCAGGATATCAGAGAAAGGTTCTTACCCCTTGGCCTACATGGAGATGCAGGGGCCTTTCAGAAGAATGATCCATCCATGTGATCTCCATGAGGTCACTCCTGTCTAGCCAAAATGTTGCAACATCACAGTTGCTCTTGGTGGCCTTGCCAAAGGGATGCATCAGCAAAGGCCCTGGTGATCCCAGCAGTGATACCATGCACCATGTGTGGTCAGTGATTAAGTGGAGCTTTGAAGCTGTGTACTTCAACAAATTTCCAGAAGCTGATCACAGAGGAATTGCATGGCCTCAGAACAGCTGGAGGTCAGAGATGGCTGGGCAACCTTTGAACTCTGATGGCCATTCAGGTCTTCTTTTTGCAATCCAAGGTGATGCTGAATACCTTCAGAATGAGTTTGGCTTGACCCTGGCCTCCCATGAAAACATGTGTTTTCATTGTGGGGCAAATAAATCGACTTTCCCCTACAATGACTTCAGGCCTGGAGCTGCTTGGAGAGCCACCATGGTGCCTCATGCTGGGACATCCCCCACTGAGCACCTGGTGTCACAAATCACAGGTGTGACTGGAGATACCTTTAAATTCGACATTCTCCACACCCTTGAAGAAGGATTGACAGCCCACTGCCTTGCCAACTGTGCCTTTGACTGGGTTTTGAGATCTGACTGGCCTGGGACCCATGGTGTCAGGCTCAGAACACTCTTTGGGAAGATATTCACACTCTATACTGAGTTGGGCATTGAGAGTGAGAACAGGATCAGGAGATTTCCTATGTCAGCCTTTTGCCGCCCCGAATTCAAATGGGACAGCTTTCCATCCTTGAGTGGAATCAAAGCCAAGCAGTGCAGGTGGCTAGTTCCTGTGTTTCTGCAGATTTGTGAAGAATACAAGGATCCAGAAGATTCCTATTCTCAGCACAGATTTGACTGCTTGAAACATTTGAATGATGTCTATGACACCATGGACAGAGCTGGTCTGCACCCTAGCACCAATGATGCAAAAGCCTTCAGGAAGAGCCTGGACAATTGCCTTCTGCACTACAGCAGACTGTCAGTGTTGAGCATGAAAGCAGGAGTGCTCATGTGGAATACAATTCCAAAGATGCATTGGGCCCAGCACCTTGGCTGGTTCAACCCAAAGTATTACTCTTGCTATCAAGGTGAAACAATGGTGGGGCACATGTCTGCCCTGGGGCATGCATGCCTGAATGGAACTCCAGCACATCAGGTGCCTCTCAAAGTTTGCTGGAGATTCAGGCTGGCATTTCACCTCAGGAACCAAGGTGCAGAGTTTGCCTTTGCAGCTTCTGACAGTGATGGCTAAAGCCTTGCAAAAGGCATGTGCCCTGCAAAAGGGCTTAGCCCTGCAAAAGGGCTTTCAACTCTTAGCTGCACCTCTATCTAAACTTTTGCAAGCTGAGCCTAAAAGAAGTGGTGCCTGTGTTCCAACCCAGTGAGAAAGTGGATCCAGAAATCAAACAGGATTTATTGGTAAAACCAATAAAGACCCTTATTGGTTGGTCCTCAAATGTTATTGGTTAGTTCAATAAAGGGGTTCAAGCCACAAACCAATAAGATCAGCTGTTTTATTGGTTTCTTCCCACATTATCGAAAGCAGCGTTTTTTATTGATTCTTTCCAATAAAGCGCTCTCTGGGTATCGCTCCCTCCCAGCGAAGCTCTCCGCAAGCTATTTGCACGCTTTCATGTCCGTCCAGCATGCTGTATCGCTTCCTCCCAGCGAAGCTTTCCCCAAGCTATTTCCACGGTTTCGTGTCCGTCCAGCATGTTGTATCGCTCCCTCCCAGCGAAGCTTTCCGCAAGCTATTTCCACGTTTCGTGTCCGTCCAGCATGCTGTATCGCTTCCTCCCAGCGAAGCTTTCCCCAAGCTATTTCCACGGTTTCGTGTCCGTCCAGCATGTTGTATCGCTCCCTCCCAGCGAAGCTTTCCGCAAGCTATTTCCACGTTTCGTGTCCGTCCAGCATGCTGTATCGCTTCCTCTCAGCGAAGCTCCGCAAGGCTCTTATGGTGTCCAGCGTCGGTCTGTTTTCATAACGAGAGCTGGAAGATGTTATTTGGAGATACATGCTCTCATAGGAATGCCAATGATATCATGATGGTATATAACTATGGTTGCTGCAAGTGTCACTGCATCCACCACTTTGTTTATTGTGTGCTGCACTACTTCTCTCTTCTTTCGTTTCTTCCTAAAGCCCCCCCTGGTTGGCGGGTCCAACTGTACATAGTAGCCACCCTTCTTGGGCCCTCCCCTTTTGGGGGGGGGGACCCACAAGCCTTGTCTCTCGGTTGACATGTTGCGCAACTCAGTAGGCGGGTTGGCCCTGGTCAATGCACATGATGACGACATTTTGCGCAAATATGCGTTCGCAGCATGAAAATTTTGATTTTAAGATGCCTAGGCATGAAAGCGAAGTCAAGTGTAGTTTGGTTCGAGGTGGACATGTCAGCCTTTTGGATGTTGGTTTTTGTTGTGACAACAGCAGCAACCAGTTTCTTGCATTTTCTGCTGCAAGGAAAGATTGGAGCTAGATGCCGAGTGGCGCGCTCTCCCCCCCATGGTTGGGGGGTCCAACTGTACATAGTAGCCACCATTCTTGGGCCCCCCCACCAGTCCAACTGTACATAGCCTTTGGTGCTATGGAAAGTGGAGAGGCAAATGCAGGATGCATTACTTCTTCCTTAATTCTTCCCAAGACCCCCCCTTGGTTGGGGGGTCCAACTGTACAGTAGCCTTTCTGCTTAGGCCCCCCCCTCTTTGGGGGGGGGCATTGCGGTGCCAGAGCTGCATTTCTTCTTCCTTTTTTCCTTCCCTCTGATGCCCCCCCATTTAAGGGGGGGCCATGCCTAAATGGATAATGCAAAGACAAATGCGGCAACCTTGCTTGGCACCCCGCTATAGGGGTGGTCAAGACGCAACACGAGGGAAGAAAAAAAAGGCCATGGAGCGAGGCACTCATGCAGATGTCTCTCTACATCCTCCATAGCCTCCTTATATGATATGCATATATATATAATATACATTATATACATATATATATATATACATACATATATATATATTTTTACGTAGGGGTCCATGACGATGTTGTTTTAAGGGATGTGGGTTTGCATGGTGGTTCCTGGAGGTTGGGGGACACGGTAAACCCCAGAAAAAAACAATACCAGTGCTTCCTGGAGTTTGGGGGTCATGGCAAGCCCAAAGAAAAAACAACACACATTTTACCAATTTATTTTTGGTGGTTAAATGCTACATGATGTATTGTTGCAAAGCCGGTTGTGGGGCAACAACCCATATATATATATATCGTGTTTTTCAATCCTGGGATGCATCCCTCATGTTTTCCAAACACAAAGTTGGAAACAAAATCCAAGATTTGATGTTCACCAATTTCCGTTTGGTCATCCAAAACAAACGTTTTCTTCAACCTTGTGGTCACCAGATGGGGTCACCAAAATGAGATTTTGATGTGGGATCTTTCGTGGTGGTTCCAAACATGGGTCTTCATCAAAAGAAACTACCAAAATCAGGTTGGATGGGAACCCTTGAGGGTGTTAACATTGCGCACTTGCACCGGTGCTATCCAGCAAGCCAAGCTTGCCAGGGGGCAAAACTTGTGATGGCACATGTCAGTTCTATTTCCACCCAGCAATTATGGGACCATACGCCCAAAACCTTGGATGGAGAATTTGAAACATGCATAAGCACGCATACCCAGTAGATCGAAACAATATAGATATACATATAAATAACAGGACACACATATTCACTTCCTCTTTGTGGATTTTCCCTCCAACATTTCTCCAAGTATATCCTCTTTCGAAACGTAATTAGGTCTGTAAGTGACCTCAATCGCAAGAAACTTGGGAGTTCCGGCAGTGCGGCGCCATGCGCTGATGTTTTGATCTGGCGATGATTGAGATCGCTTGTCTCTGCCGACGCCCTAGTTTCAAAACAGGATCCAGGATCTCTTTGCTTTGGGATTCAAAATTTGAAGAGTCGCCTAATTTGAATGCAAGGGATGATCAATGCGAACTGTGGCATGGGTCGAAGGTATGAATCCACCAACATGGAATAAATCTATAGTTGATACAAGGTTGTAGGTTGGAATCCAAATCAATATGACACCTCCCAGAATGAACTACCCCCAATTAGGATGTTCCAAAAAGTTTTACTGTCTCAAACAATTGTGACCAGTTTTTGGTATTCTCCTCATTCTGTGAAACCACAAACCACCAATTGGGGATATACTGCAATGCAAAGGATGTATCCACCCAGGATGAAGCAAATTCCAAAAGAATCCATCTATTTGCTGGGCATCCTCGAAAACTGGAATGATTATTAATGCATCTCTAGATCTTGTAACTCTAGTATAAGCCCAAGGTTTTTTGGCCCTTTTAGGGATCCTGCCAACGGCTGACCGACCGCAAAGGCCGAAGTGGTCATGGTGACCAACTCATTCGCATTGCGTCCTTAGATGGAGAAGGCAAGCATGTGACAGGGGTTCAGGGTGCCCTTGGTGCTGGGATTCACTCTAAGAAGGTTACTGCTCAGTCTTGGAACCGTGGGATATCGTGGGATTTTTCAACTGGAAAGTGCACTCATGTTGTATAGGTAAAGTTTGTTGATATCCACCAAAAATGACATGGACAACCTTTTGTGCCTTCAGGCCATTTGGTTCAGGCTGCAGGGTTGATTTCAATCACTAGTGGGGTGATTTGCTATGGCTGTGGTCGCAGCACATGAGCACCAGCGTGCTTTGATTGCGCCAGAGGATTGGAAGTCTACTCGCCTTTTGCCACATTCCTGGTACATTCTTTTTGGGGGCAACCCCACACCCCATATAAGATATAGGGATCCGATTTTGTTTCATTTGTTCTTCCCTTCCACATTGATTTACGAACCAACTCAGGACACGGGAAAAAGTTCAATGGACGAAGGACCAAGTTGTATCATGGCATGCATATGTGTTTAAACAATTGTTAGCAACGAACCACCCATAAGAGACAGATTTGCAATTAGAATTCCCTTAGTACATTTAATTGGGGTTCATTGGGATTCATTTCTCTAGAAACATGGATTGGGGATCCAGTTTTTGAGGCACAAATGGCCAGAGCCATGTTGGAACACATCCCGGAAAGAGCGAAGAGCCTCATCCTCACTGGAGCTATTTCTGGTAGCAGCATGTTCTTGCTTGCAGATGACTCAGGTGTAACCCGTCCCAACTACAAGGACCTTACACAATGGGGAACTTGATGTTGAAAATGTGTTTCAAGGGGTCTTCTCAATAGGTGTGGAAATGTTTGGGGTTTAGTATACATAGATAGATTGGGGTTTAAATACATATATAGATTGGGGTTTAAATACATATAGATATAGATATATATATATATATATACCATGTGTATATATATATATATACATATGTAAATAAACAACCCTTTAGGACATCAGCAACAACTTTGTTTGGTTGCGAGCATGGTGTGAATTCTTTCCTGACCATGTGCCGTCCGGGTTCTTTATCATGGACTCTCTGTTGGTCCTTGACTACTTTTTGATGGACAAGATGCTCTTGCCAGAGGGTAAGGCTACGTGTGACCGGGAGACCAAGGTTGAGCTTGCTCGGCAGGAAACCAACAAAATGAAGCGCCTTCTAGGTGCGTTGCGCTACTTGTGGAGGAACGGTTTCTTGAACACAAGAGCCAAAGATATGGGTTTCTTATGTTTTTTTCCTTTTGGCAAAGTGGTTGCATATTGCAATACCGTCAAATTTCATGTTTCAATCGGCTGCAGAACATGTTATGAGGTCCAGGATCTCACGACGAGAGCGTTCGAATCTTGAAGTCCTACCTCAAGCCCAGTCCAAGTGCCCTTGTTTCTTCCTCCTAGCATTGGAAATGTGCATAGTTTCTGTTTCAAAGTCTGATTTCCATGTTGAATATTTTGTATCCAACAGAATCCAATAGTATATACATATTTTGAACCCACACACCAACACACGCACATGTATATATATGTATGTATATTAAATAATAGAGACATGTATACTTTTACACTATACAGCTATTCTTTTGCATGCCACATATATGCATAGTTAAATTGTCTTTCAGATGTGGCATGTGTGGGGAAGAAGTGAGGCTCGACGTGAAGCTGTAGCCGAACGTGAGCCCAGCAGCGACAGTGAGGACTAAAAAATGGGGCAAAAACATGTCTCCAGTAGAATGATATAGAGGGTCTAGGATACTGTAGTATGGTCCAACATGCAGTTTGTCCCGTATACCTCCGAACCTGTAGGAAGAGCAAGCCCCCGTGAATGACACAGAGTCTGACGCAGAAGAGGAGGAGGAAGATGACGAGAACATGAACGATGATGATGTTTGTGATCCCAATGCTTCCAAGTCCCCCATGAGTGCAGTTGACAGTCAGGAAAGTGCAGGGGAGTCAGAGACTGAGGAGAGCCTTGACCCTGCCCTCGTCTTTGACAGGAACCCAGATGACTTGTCAGACTTGCCTGACACGCCCACCACAGAGTCAGGCACCACGCTGATCTTGCCCAGGGTGAAGCGCACGCTTTATGTCCCACCGCCCCTACCACCCGATGATCTCATGAGTTCCGATGATGAGGACCAGGAAGGGAGTTGAGGGCAAAGATTTAACAGTTTTGGGGATGGCGCAGAAAACCTTGAACCCCCCTATAGGAAAACCATCGTGACCACCACTCAGTTCCTCGACAGTATCGCTGTATATTAAGTTGTGTTGACCATTGCTGTGTGTGAAGGGTTGCATGATAGTAGCATACATATATACACACACACATATATATATATATACACATTAGAAAGCTCCTGTTCTAAGGAAGATGCTTTGCGAGAGGCTCTCCACTTCATGGGGTTAGAATCTCATGGTGCGAAATTACCTCTCCCTCCCAGCTCATTGAAAACGCTCCCATTGCCAGTGCCTGACTTCTTGAATGATGTTGCTACGCATCTATCCCAAAGCGGTTCACCTTTTGTGGGTCTCCAGTTGCTTACCAACCAATCAGGTTTATGTTTGTTTCCCATGATAAATCCGATAAAATTGCATCACGTTGATTCAATGAAACCACATTTAACAGGATCGATTTTGGGGCAACTTTCTGGTCATAATTACCCTCATCAAAAAGATACTATCCATCCCATTGGATTAAACATGTCAACGCAACTGCACATCCCTTCAGGTCAAAGATTCGAAAGGGAAGAAGGGCAACAAGTCTAGCGGCTCCGGGAAGAAGTCCAAGGCATCCTTTCGCCGTGGCGTGAGGCGTCCCAAGGCTAAGAAGCCCAAGCGATGGTCTGGAGCTGGTGCCCTTGAGGTCTGGGGCCATGTCAAAAGATATACCCAACCAATATTTGAGAGGATGTCCCATTTACAACATACATCTATATCTAATGCTTGAAGGGGATGCTCCACTATATAACAAATGTTTCAGAAAAAGATCAATTGAAATCTTTTTGGAAACAAAACCCTGATCAGGAGTATGGCGAGTATTCCTTGAAGGATATTCCAATGGCTGCTCGCCCACAGCCAGACCGTATCCACAGGGGAAAACATTCCTACACTGTGAAAACAGCTGTCAGGGATCCCGGGGATGAGATGCGAGAGGTTCTTGTGGATTACTTACTGAGAGCAAAGGCATACTATGTGAAAAAAGCAGCGCCAACAGGACATTGCGGCCAAATCACGTGGAAAAAATTCGGTGGCCCAAAGGCAGCGTGGAGTGTCACTATGGACCAAGCCCGTTGTGGAGGGGTCCCATAAAAGTGTTTGATCATGGCCCTGCATTTGTGCCAGCTCAGGAACGCACCCATTGTGCTTTTATGTTCCAATTCAATTTGTTGTTTTGGTATTGGTAAAAAAAACAAAACCGGCTGTGTTTCGACAGTTTGATTGCTCTAGAAGAGCCATGGCACACGATCTTGTTTGAGAGTCAGCTTGAGCTGCTCCCCAGGGAATGCACCTAGTGATTTGGGGTGCTGAATGCGCATCGCATTTGGTTGGGGTGCTGGAGCATTACCCATACAGGGAAACATGGCTCGCTGGTTGAGTTTGTCATATATACGTAGGTGTCGCAGTGGATCTGGTCAAGCGGGAAAAAGTATCTGGTCCCACAAAGGGATCTCATTAGTGCTTTGATTGCTAAAGAGACGTTTCCGAAATCTTCAGAAACAATCCAATTTGAGGGAATGCACCTTTCAAACACCAAAATTCAAAATATGCTCAATTGCCCCAAGAAGTTCTGAACGTTCTGAACGTTCTGAACTTAAAACAAATGCAAGGTATCACCAACCAGTCCCCAACCCTTCCATGGAGTCCTGAGTGTGTTGTTTCCTTTGTGCCTGGGCAGGTGCACAAGATAGATCAAAGAGCGAATGAATGAGGAGGCCAGGTTTACCCAGTGTTTGGGGAACTCAGGGTCATGGATGTTGGAAGCCATCATCAATCAGTAAAAATGGTTTCCTCTTCAACCATGTTTGAAATGTTTCTTCCATCATGATCCCATGCAACAGTGGCAATCGTTGATTCTTAGTACCGCCATCCAGTTGATGAAAGAAAGGTTTTCTCTTGAACCATGTTTGAATGTTTCTCCCACCATGGCCCATGCAACAGTGACGTTCTTTGATTCTTAGTATCGCCATGCAGGTGATCCAAGAAAGGAAAGCTCAGAAATGCCGAGGCCGGACTTCCGTCCGAACAGGGGTGTGCAAATCGGAACATCCAACAAGAGATTCTAGATCACCCCAATGCATCTATCACATACTATACGTGATCATGTTGCATGTCTTGTGTCAAATGTGATTGGCTGCTTTAGCTGTTTTCCTCAACACACCCAACGGCTGCAGTGGCCAACATGGGTAAGTCTTGTCGAACCATTGCCAAAAAGGCATCCCGGCAGAGTATGCAACAGATGGCACCCATGACCAGTCGACCAAAGGGAGGCTATCGCAACAAGCAGAAATCGACCATCCTTTGTGGCTTACGTGCTTTGGGGCTCCTGCAGCTGCTTATCCCAAAATGTATACAATCAAATTGTGGTTGTTCACCCCAAACAATTTGGGAATTTGTGTGGCTACTTACCCCAATCAATTTGTGAATCATTTTGTGAATTGTTTTTTCTTGGGGCTGTACTTGATCGGTCATTAGATATTGCAGTCTTCCAACCATACAACCTTCCAAACCACCCAGATCTTAGGTGATAGCCTTCATAGTTGCTTTGATCTTTGCCCAGAAGGATCTTCCTTTCAGCAGTGGTGGAGCCTTAGATCACTTGGAGTGCTTCTGCGGCGAACAATCGGTCACACTCGGGGAGCTGGAGGAATCAGTCTGGGTCCAGTGTCAAAAGAAAAGGGTGCCCATAGATGGGTTCTGGAAATGGGAGATTAGCTACCGTGCCATGTAAATTGGGGGGAAATATATTATATTCACCAATAATATATAAATAGTTGTTTGCCTGTTCCGGTACTTCCCATTGGTTGCTCTCTTCAACTGTTTCCAAACCAGAATCCACATTTCCGAAAAATGTACTATAGCGGGGTCTTCACCATTGCGCCCTTCAAAATCTATTATCTGCTCGACCTCATGAAACATATAGTCATTGTTTGACTAAAATCCATCAACATCAATTTATTCGATATGGATTGGGGTCAATGTGTGTTGTTGGGAGCCTAGTGTGTCTCCTTGTCACCCCTGTAACTCTGACAATTTATTAATATATATATATATATGGAACCCGTTTGAAATGGTATGGATTTTGATATAGATCTCATTGCACAAGGGTATGGAATGGTCCCCTTACTTTATACCCAATATACTTGCATGCAGGAGGGGCGTTCGGCTGTTGGCTTAGACATCCGAATGAGTCAGAGCTTGGACATATTGTCCACCAACCGTGTATGACTGGAGTTCCTTAAAGGATTGCAAATGGACTAGATAAAACTGGAAACTGATGAATGAAGTGAAGTTATCATCCTAGGTCCGGTTCCCGATCGTGAGCGAAGAGACAAGTGGAAGGATAAGGAGAAGACGAGTAGAGAGAACCGGAAGGTAACGACTGGCATGAACTGTGTACCGGGAGGATTCTAAGAAGGATTCATTCAGCACCTCTACCAGGTTTGCAGGCTCAGCAGAAAAGGTGCCGGCTTACTAGCTGCACCAGTTTGTTCAACGTTTGTGTTTATGAGCCTTGGTTCACAAAAGATCTTTCGGAGGTGATATTGCTTTCCTTAAAATAAGTCATTGTTTCCACATATCATTAGGGGTGTTTAATGGTGTTCATCAATTTTGGTGTCCAGACAAGGCGCCAAAAAAATTGACTCCCTTATGCACCAATGATTCGTCTAAGTATGTTTTAATTTTGATAGGCTCGATGGGGTCTATTTTTCAGAGCCGATTAACACGTACAGACAGTGTCATACAATGCCGACCTTTGGAGAATACTTGAGTGGCCATATTTCCCCAACGCCCTAGGTCACGAGGCAGCACAGGGAGGTCAGCCCTGGAGCCGAGTGGGAACACTTCTTTCGATTCGGTCTCTCAAGGCAATCTAATAGCATGCCGGACATTGGTCTTACTGTGGGTGGCGGCTGCCTTAAATGCATGGTGGATTCTGGAGCAGCCCAAGAACTCTTTAATGCAAGAGCTACCTGCTTTTCAATCCTTCATGAATCGAGTCAAAACCTACCGGTTCCACATGAAAATGTCTGAGTACGGCGGGCCTACAGAGAAGCCGACTTGGCTATACTCCGGATACTTAGCTTGTTAATTCAAACTTATGAGCACCATCTCATTTATCTTATGGGTGTTTTCTGAAGGGTTGTGTTTATATCTCATTTGTTTGTGGGCCTTTCCCTTCATATCAAAATACCAAAGGGTCATCCCATATGGATAATAAACTATTGGGAATGCATGGAAGGACACCTCACATCACCCCATCCTTTCTTTGGGGCTCCATGCCATCTAAGGAAAGAAGCAAATCGAACACCTTGGAAAGCACAAACCAAAGGCACACCAGCTACCCAAACATGAACCGAAAGAGATGGTTCAGGCCTATACTGATGGTTCGGGCCGTTCCCGAATCAAGGGCGGGAAGGATCTCAAAGCGTCGCGATCGTACCCAAGGTGGTTCTTTGCTTAAATGATGTAGGTTTTTGAATTGTGTTTCCACTATGATTTGATCAGCCTCCAAGAGGGATATATATCATAGCACCATTTGGGAAATTGTACCTTCACCCTTACCCTTGAATATCACCTGGGGAGCCTGACAAATCTTAGTTATACGTTGGATTCAGTATGGGGTCCCGAAATATTCAAAAATGACAGTAACGTTTTGGGGGCCCCAAAAGAAACACCATTGCCTTCCCTGGCCATGAGCTGGGTGTCCTGACCAATCTGAGCACTTGCAACCTTTTCCTTTGCTCCTCAGGTTTGCCGGACCCACAAACTTCCAAAATCATGCAATGTGATGGAACTTTTGGATGTCAAATTCAAAATATGTACAAATTTGGGATCAGTTTGGACACCTATATTTGAAGGTAAATGTTGATTTCATTTCCTTCCCCATAAGCCCGACCGGCAGGCTAGTCCTGAAACGCCAGTTCAAAGCAAAAGGCCATGGTACGCCATCCTCCCACCTGAGCTGGGGTCATGTGGCGCTGCTCTGGAGTGAAGGTGGCCAGATTTGGGGATCCTTACCTGAAAATGGGGATTTCTGTGGTTTTCACTGGGTCAAACCTGCATGCATCATTTTTCATTTTTTTTCAAAAACTGGAGGTGGTAAAAGAATCATAGGTTTTCATCGAATATTGCAAAGCTAGCCTCAGGATTCCAATTTTGGATCAATTTCACAAAAGGTTTTGCCATTCTGAGCATATTTTGGGCTCAATTTTCACGAAGTTGAGGGGCCATGGCAAAAACCAAGGCTCAACCGGTTCCTTCTACTAGGATTCGGGGCAAGACCTCTTCAAAGCCTGCAGTTGCACAAGATAAGCTGAAGGTCAAAGCGAAGGATCAAAAGAAAGATTCAAAGAAGTCCAAGGCAATGGAGAAGGCCGAGCGCAAGAGCAAGGACAAAAAGGAGAAAAAAGACAAGGCTTCCAAGAAGGAAAGGAAAGGCACCAAGGAGGATGAACCAGCACCAAAGACCAAGAAGCATTCCGATTCAGCAGCACTTGAGAAGAAGAGGCAGAACGAGGCGAACCTGAAGGCAATTGAAGCTGAGTCGGCCAAGAAGGAGGCCAAGAAAGCAAAGAAGGCAGAGGATGCAAAGAAAGCAGAGGCAGAAAAGAACGCACAGGCTGCGAAGAAAGCCGAGGATGAGAAGAAGAGGAAGGCCAAAGAGCAAGAGAAGAAAGAGAAAGCCAAGGCAACCAAGAAGAAGGAGACCCAGAAGCAGACCCAGTCTGTTCCTGCAACTCCAATCAAAGGCAACCAGGCTTTGATGTCTGACAAAAGCAGCCAAGGGACCCCGCAGAGTATTGACAACCTGTCGGACATTGAGAAGGAGCAGGAGAAAGCAAAGGCGAAGGGCATCACACTAAATGAGCAATTGACCGATGTCTCTGCAGAGTCTTTGGAGAAGCACATGCAGAGCTTGCTCCAGGAGCAGCAGGCAAAGGAGAAAGAAGAGGCAGAGGCAGAGGCAGATGATCAGGAGGAGGAGGAAGATGAGGATGCTTCTGAAGATACTTCAGATGATGAAGACCAGGGCATGTCTGATGAGGAGATAAGGAGGAAGAAGGCGAAAGTGAAGACACACAGTTAGGCAAAGAGGGCATGGAGATTCTGAAGGATGGAGCGAAGGCGGATGAGAGTGAGGAAAGTGAAGAAAGCGATGAGGAGTCATCATCTGACAGTGAGACTTCCAGTGAGAGTCAGGACAATGCTGAGAACCCAAGAAGAGCAAGGCAGGTGACATGGGACAGATCGTCAAGGCTTCTGCAGCTGCTGAACAGTCTGCTCAGAAAGCTCTTGCAAATAGCATCTTGATAGTTATTAGATTCATGTACCTTCATTTCTATGTTTTCTGTCTTAGGATGCTAACATCTCTTCGGTTGCAGTCTGTCGCACTTGTTTGTGATTCATCCCTGCAGGCACGAGCAACAAAGCAGAGTGGGACAAGTTCAGCAGGCAATGCATGGACAAACGAAAGTTCCCTGCAGAGTTGGCATCACACTTCTTGCAAAGCAAAGTGTGTTTGTTCAACGAGTGGCTGTCTTGTGGAGGGGACTGGAGCAAAGTTGTCTTGAACTACGAGCGGAAGGTTGAAGACAAAAGGAAGTTCAAGAAGCAAAGGAAAGGAATGAAGGGAAGGGACATCATAGCGGCCTATGGTGAAACGACCCTAGATGATTGCTTAGTGGGTTGAAGCAGTTTTCCGTTTCAAATTTATTTGAGTTCCTCCTGGATTCAAATGGTTTGGCATGTTCAAACTTTACAACACTCACACAATCCTACTTGCAGGATTCCGGTTATGGGCTAAGGGGTAGAATTTCTTGGGAACAATCAAAAACTTCATTTTGCCCAGGAAAGGCAAGAGCCTGATGGAGAAGCTGAAGCAAAAGAACCTTTGCGAGGAGGATGAGGATTTCCCTGGTTTTCTTTCTTATCTATGTAATCTATGCAATCTATCTAATCTATCTAATCTATCCTATCTATCTTTCCTTTCTATCCTATCTAATCTATCTAATCTATCTAATCTATCTATCTACCTAATCTATCTAATCTATCTAATCTATCTAATCTATCCTATCTATCTTTCCTTTCTATCCTATCTATCTTTCCTTTCTATCCTATCTAATCTATCTAATCTATCTAATCTATCTATCTACCTAATCTATCTAATCTATCTAATCTATCTAATCTATCCTATCTATCTTTCCTTTCTATCCTATCTATCCTATCTATCTTTCTATCTATCTATCTATCTATCTATCTATCTATCTATCTAATCTATCTAATCTATCTAATCTATCTAATCTATCTAATCTATCTAATCTATCTAATCTATCTAATCTAATCTATCTAATCTATCTAATCTATCTAATCTATCCTATCTATCTTTCCTTTCTATCCTATCTAATCTATCTAATCTATCTATCTACCTAATCTATCTAATCTATCTAATCTATCTAATCTATCTAATCTATCTAATCTATCTATTCTATCTAACCTATCTAATCTATCTAATCTATCTAATCTATCTAATCTATCTAATCTATCTAATCTATCTATTCTATCTATCTATCTATCTATCTATCTATCTATCTATCTATCTATCTATCTAATCTATCTAATCTATCTAATCTATCTAATCTATCTAATCTATCTAATCTATCTAATCTAATCTATCTAATCTATCTAATCTATCTAATCTATCCTATCTATCTTTCCTTTCTATCCTATCTAATCTATCTAATCTATCTATCTACCTAATCTATCTAATCTATCTAATCTATCTAATCTATCTAATCTATCTAATCTATCCTATCTATCTTTTCCTTTCTATCCTATCTATCTTTCTATCTATCTATCTAATCTATCCTATGTATTTTTCCTATCTTTCCTATCTATCTATCTATCTATCTATCTATCTATCTATCTATCTATCTATCTAATCTATCTAATCTATCTAATCTATCTAATCTAATCTATCTCATCTATCTAATCTATCTAATCTATCCTATCTATCTATCTAATCTATCTAATCAATCTATCTAATCTATCTAATCTATCCTATCTATCTTTCCTATCTTTCCTATCTATCTATCTGTCTATCTATCTATCTATCAATCTATCAATCTATCTATCTATCTATTTTTCTTTCTTATCTGTCTAATCTATCTAATCTATCTATTCTATCTAATCTATCTAGTCTATCTAATCTATCTAATCTATCTATCTATCTATCTATCTATGTATCTATCTAATCTAATCTAATCTAATCTAATCTAATCTAATCTAATCTAATCTAATCTAATCTAATCTAATCTAATCTATCTAACCTATCTAATCTTTTTTCCTATCTTTCCTTTCTATCTATCTATCAATCAATCAATCAATCTTATCTATCTCATCTATCTTGTCTATCTATCTATCTATCTAATCTAACCTATTCTAATCTAATCTAATCTAACCTAATCTAACCTAATCTAATCTAATCTAGTCTAATTTAAGCTAATCTTTCTAATCTATCTAATCTATCTCTTCTTTCTCATCTATCTAATCTATCTAATCTATCTAATGTATCTAATCTATCTAATCTATCTATCTATCTATCGATCAACCGATCGATCTATCTATCTATTTATCTATCTATCTATCTATCTATCTATCTCTCTTTCTATCTATCTATCTATCTATCTATCTATCTATCTATCTTATCTATCTATCTATCTATGTAAAAGGTCTGCACTATCATCAAAATGCTATTCAACACCCAAGCCAACCCTGAACCAAACCAAAATATACAGTACACGAACCTTATGTAAATAGATCTTAAACCAACACTATGATCGAAGGAAGTTTAGAAGTTAAACTTCCGACAATCTGGAGAGATGAAAAGCAGAGGTGACAGCAGTCATAGAGTCAGAAAGGGGAAAGACCAGAAGCAAGAAGATGCAGGTGCGCGAAAAGGTAGGAAAGTCGCGAAACACTGTGTTTTTTCGATGTTTTGTTGCTCCGGAGAGTCGAAAAGTAGGCTCGCTAAAGCGGCGGGTGCGGAGACATCTGGGGAGATGAGAGATGAAAAGTTGCACGTCGTTGTGGCGAGAAGCAGATTTTGAAGTGAAAAGGCACAAAACACCTCAGCGCCGGAGCACTTTTGGAAGTTGCGATGTTGAAAAAGTGCACGGCATTGTGGCGGGAAGCACATTTGGAAGTCAAAATGTACAAAACATAGCATGTTCGGAGCATTTTTGGAAGTTGAGATGTTGAAAAAGTGCACGTTGCTGTGGCGCGAAGCACATTTCCAAGCCAAAAGTTGCAAAGCACGTCGGGTCCGGAGCATTTTTGGAAGTTGAGATGTTGAAAAAGTGCACGCTGCTGTGGCGCGAAGCACATTTCCAACTCAAAAGTGTTAAAAACTGAGGGTCTCGGAGACATTTTGGACGTCCGGACGTCGTTTTGTGTGGCAGGCGCAGTGGATTGCGCACCGTGTCAAAAGTGACTCAAACGTTTGGGTTTTGTAGCATTTTCAAAAACGATGGCAGGCGTGGGACATTTGAAGAGGATCTGCAAAGATGCTTTTTTCGTGGCAGGCGCAGTACAAGAGGCATCTTCAGCAGAGATGTTCGGAGGTCAAGGAGCAGATTTCCTGAGAGAGGTTGCATTTCGGAGCATCAGATCATCAGCTTTGTCAAGATGATTTTTCGTGACAGGTGCAGCACTTCGTATGACCTGGACTCATGTTTTCGTGGCAGGCGCAATACTTTAGAGACATGGCATGGAAAAATCGCAAAACGCATTGGTACGAGGCCGTCAGCTCTGCGCTCAACTTTCCATTTTTGAAGGAAGTCTCGCAGAATTGCTTCGTTTTCGTTGTTGTCAACTTCAAAAAGTGAGAAAGTCTCGCAGAATTGCTTCGTTTTTGATGCCAACTTCAAAAATTGAGAAAGTCTTGCAGAATTGCTTCGTTTTCGATGTTGTCCAATTCCAAAAATTGAAGAAGTGTCGCAGAAATGCTTCGTTGCGGACATTCGACTACACTAACTACAACTTCACTACACTACACTACAACTACACTTCACTACATTGCACTGCATTACACTACACAACAACTTCAACTACAACTACACTACAACTACACCACAACTACACCACAACGACAACTACAACTACACCAGAGCTACAACTACAACTACACTACCACTGCACTACAACTACAGTACAACTACGCTACAACTACATGACAGTTACAACTACACTACAGCTACACTACACTAGACTAGACTACATTACATTACACTACACTACACTACATTACATTACATCGCACTACACACATTACACCTACACTACATTACACCACAACTGCAATTACAACTACACTACAACTACAACTACATTACGCTACAACTACGACTACACTAGACTACAACTACAACTACACTACACTACAACTACGACTGCACTAGACTACAACTACATTACACTACAACTACACCACACTACACTACATTACGCTACACTACGCTGCACTGCCTCCAACCACCTTTCGATCCATCAGTGGGTTCGCTCTGCCATTCTTGCATCACACCAACTCACCTCTCCTATAGTTTGCTATCTCTGAAACTTCCGCCACCGCATTGTGCGGTACTACTGGTAACATCCAATGAAACTATGTGCATCGTTGTGCCTCAACCTACATTCTACATGTTTCCAGGGTGCATGTCGTGTAGTATTTACACCTTAAGTATCACATTCAACCCAGCACCTTACGTGTGAAAACAGGTGTCTTCAATCTGCTTTGGGGGGAGGCGCTGCGCCCTTGTTTTTGTTTTCTGTGGACCCTATGGGGTATATAGCATGAGTGCTGAGCACAGTTTGAATACGCTGTCAAGGCTCAAGAGAGATATAGAGGTACAGTCTGGATTAGGCGCAGTACTGACTTGGCTAATAGGCCTGAGAGTGAAAACAGTGCTTGCAGCCTGAGAAGACGCTTTAGCTGATCCTAGCTTCTTGAATAGGACGCTATTGCCCCTCTTCAAGTGGTAGCGGAGCTGTGGTCCTGCATTGCAGGTGAGCTCCAGGTAGAGCCCATAATGCATAGCCATGGCTATGATGACTTCGACATTGTCGATGAGCATGACTCCTATGCAATGAGACGTTCAGGACCCTCACAACCTGCTATACATATGACTCAACAGATGACCACAAAAGTAGCCCCTTCTTATGATGGAAGAACCAGTTTCTTTGCGTATGAAGATGCAGTTGGTGATTGGTGTGATATCACTGAGTTGGAGCCGAGAAACGTGGACCTGCTGTGAGGAACAGACTCGAAGGAGAAGCAGCTGTTTACAAAACAATTGTTAGACAGAGACCGGAGGGATCCTGCAAACGGTGTGAACTATTTCAAAAGGTTTTTACGACCACATTTCATCAAAGGTGAGCAGAACGTGTTCCTGTATAGGTTTACGCAGTTCATGAAACACAACAGAGGTTCTATGGATCTTCAACGTTGGATGACTCGATTTCAGATTACTGGCAATAGACTTATTGAGTCTTGGATGGATCTACTACCAGATGTAGAGATGACCAATCCTGAAGCCGCAGTATACATCGAACAACAACGTCAAGCTCATGTACAACAACAGCAGAACCTAGCAGGCATCGCAGCACAACCAGGACAACCACATGCAGCAGTTGCTT